GAAGGCAACTGGCAGCCTGAATTTCTGAAGATGCTGGCAGATGCCAACCAATGATGATTCTGCTCTCAGTCAAATACTTACCAGTCAGGAGGTCATTTAGCCACTAGTCCATGAAATTAGTGCCCTCTGGAAGAGCATGGGGTGGGATGCAGCTGCCTCCCTTGCCTTGGCCTGAGGCTCACAGAACAGAAAGGGAGGTTCCCCAACTACTGCCAGGTCTCTCTGCCTGTCCATGGGAGCCTGGCAGGAAGTGAAAGGGTGCAGAGTAACCTCCCTGGGCACACACTCTACCTCCCTCCCAAACCTTGAACACATACTGGAATCCACAGTATCTTGTGCCTGGGACCCACCATACCCTGCCTGACATGGGGTTCATGTTCCAGGTGACAGAATATGGTCCCCTAGGGTATGGTTCCCACTGAGCACAACTTCCATAGATGCCTCTGCCTTTTGGGGCCTAGGATCACCCCTTCCCTGTTGGAACCTTTATTAAGTGCTGCTCTGTTATTCTGAGACTGTGAGTCAGCTTCAACACAGACAGTCATGGCCTTGGCCATGACCAAGTGCTAGGTCATAGGTTTGAGCAGCCATAGAGAACATGGGTTGAGAGGATCATATGCAGTGTCTTGGTTGCTGACCCCAACACTCTATTCTGTGCCCCCAGGAGGAGGGGGGCTTCCTTCCTGTGTAGACAGAGCCTTGTGGTGGGGAAGAAGCCACTTCCCAGCTCCTGGCTGCAGACCACATCATAGTGTTCTCTTTTGCTCTGCATAGCTCCCATGGAGCATGAAGCCCACTCTCTGAATGGACTTTTCCTACTAATAACGAACCCCAAACACATCAGGAGTCTGACTTTGACAGAAGCTTACTTTTTGGAGCTGAGCAGGCCTGAGCCTAGAAATTTTGGTGTGGGATTTCATCAATCCAGGTTCACCATGATCTCACAGGTCAAAGTCCCGGTCTCAGACAGCACAAGGCTTGAAAGGTGGCCTGTGAGACACAAGATCAAGTGCAGGTCTCTATTTACACAGGGCCAGCACTGCTCCTTTGGGTATCAGATGTGTGTTCTAAATGGGAAATAGGTTACACTCATCTGAATTCAGCAATCTGAGCAAGAATTCCTGAGGCTGAGAGCTTGGGAACATATAGCAGGCTCAGTCTCTTGTGTGCTGTCTTAGTTACTTTTCTCTTGCTGGTGAGGCAAAATAACAGACAGCCAAATTTAAAAAGGGGAGGGTGTTTTAGTTCACAGTTTGGAAAGGTTTCAGTCCATTACCTGCTGGCTTCAAGGCAGGATGGGACATAGCAGAGGGCAACAGTCCATGGCAGTGGAAAACAGTAAAAACAACAGGTGAGGAGGGCAGAGGAAGTTCCTTCCATCCCTTACAATGTAAGCAGGTACCAACCCTAGGGCAGGTGTGCCATAAACACCCTTAATCTCAGCATTAGACCATGAATCCATCACAAACTTAGTTTCAGCAATGTTTGAAAAACCCATTCTCCTGTGACTACATGAGGCTTTGGGGGTACAACCAGACACAAAATGTAATGTGTGCAATATGTACTACCAGTGAGAGATGGTACAGCCTTCTGACCTGGCTCTAATGCAGAAACTTCATTCCAGAAGCTAGGGACTCACTGCTTAATTTCTAAAGAACCTTCCTGTGTATATAAGAATCTCTGTTACCCAAGTGCTCACTTAGGTGGCCCTGAGTCCCCAGCAGGAAACAGGAATAGAGATGGGGTTTTTTTCAGGCCTCACATGCAAAGCAGAGGCCAGACATGCAGGTAGAGGGAGTTTCACTAGGGCTCTGAGGAAGACCACCTGGGGGCTGATAAGTGAGCCTGAGCTGGTCCAGGGTTGGTGAACCACAGGGTGAGAATAAATTCTAGATGGGGAGGGGAAGGGGGGCGAGATCAGCTTCCAGAAGGACCTAGCCTGGCTTCCCCACCAGGCCAGCAAGCCCGAGGTGCTGTCTGAAAGGCTGCCATAAGGAACTGTACTAAAGAACGTGGTTCATCACATGGCTGGTGGCTTCTGTGCTGTCACTAGAAAGGTGAATCCTTTCCCACTTAGGCAATCCCAAAACAGACAAAGTGAGACCTCCTGGTTTCTGTCCTGGCTGGCTGTTGGCTTTGAGGGCTTCCTGGATCATAAATGCTGGTGAACACCCCTTAATGACTCTCTGCTCTGTGGGCCTGGGTGTCCCTATAATCCCTACCATGGGGGAGCAGGGTTATGGGACAGTGCATGGCCCCTCCCAGCTCACTGTGCAGGGCAGACCCTGCAGCTCTATGTGCAGCCTGTGCTTCCAGAAGCTGCCATGTCTCTCTGTGCTATACTCAGAACTCTGGGAGGCTTTAGGGGAGTCCTGATGGCCCCATTCTCTGCTTGTCTGAGATCTCAGAAGCTTCTTGCACACTACTAGTCACTGCATCAACAGTGCTGCCCCAGATATCAGCCTGGAGCTAGTCCCTGCAGGGCTGCAATCCACATACCTGTACCACATTGGGGCCTCGCAATAACAACAGATGCCAGGAGTGGGAGAGAGTGAGCTAAGGGGATTCTGTAAAGAGGCCCAAAGTGGACAGAGGGTATTCAGGGGCAGATTACATTTTCAGCACTTCCCTCAAGGATGTGTAAACAGCAGGCCTGTGTTCCTGCCCCCAAAGGAAACTGGGGTCTAATTCTTCAACTATCACCTCCTCTCTGCTCAGCCAACTCGGCCAGGTGCCAGGTCACTGTCCATACATTAGTGGGAGCATCAGAATAGGGACATGGACATTAAGTCACTTCACCTCCTGTCATGATTTACTTCTGCTGTTTTAGTTCACTGTAACGCCTTGGCCCATTTATCCCTTTGGCACTGGTGTGATTGTGCTTCTACCCTGTCCCCAGCTCTGACACATCATCACATCAGCAGGGGTGCACTCACCCAAAATCTAGGCCCTTGCTACTTTGTCCATGTCTCAGGGAAAATATCCAGCCCCTCAGGTCAGAGGTTGAGGCTCCACTAGGCTAAATGGCATTGTACCAGGAGAGAGTGAACACAGCTACTCAGCCTTTCATGGCTAAGGAAACTGGACCCAATTTCTTCAGAAGCACCACAGGGAAGTACTCTGTTTGTCATCACATACAGGTCCGCACTCCCACACCCAGGACAATCCTGTTTTCTCATCTCCAGAATGTGTGGTTGTCACAGGACACGTGGGATGATACTCTTCATGTAGGAAGCTAATGACTTATTTGCTCACAACTGATCTGAAAATGCTATCATTTCTAAATGCTCCTTCTGAAATTTAACCTTTGAGTATCACTACAGCTTCCAGCACTCACGCTGGGGCATGGCTGGGCCAGTAACTTCAGGCTTCCCACTGTCTCATCACAGACTGGAAATCAGTCAGTGTAGAACCTGGCAGTGGTCTGCACAGTGAGGGCGACACAGGCAAAAGGGCTGCACAGCCTGATGGAACCCCTGGAGCAGGACTTTCTGCACAGCTGCCCTATCCACAGCTCTTCCTTCCCAGGTCCCTCAAGGGCCAACATTTCCACCCCACAGGTGGGAAGGTGAGTTTGTTCTCAGGTGCACAGTGTGACTCAGCCACCTAGAGCTGAGTCTTTGAAATGTGCTTATATCTCTCAGCCTCAGTTCATTGAGAATTGAGAATTGCACCCAGTAGCAGTACAATTCTCAGAACAGTGAATTGCACCTAAGGCCAATCTTACAGGGTCCCTATGGAACAAAATGGGGTTTCCAGGCAATTGCTGACCCCAGCCAAGGCTCTGTGGAAGGCCTGCTTGAGTAGCCATGTTTATTCTCCATTGAGCTGCTCTCTCCATGGTAAAGGTTTGTTTCTCCTGTGCTGATACCTACACTGAATAAACATTTTCTCTTCATTGTAAAGGAGATTGTAGAGTTGCTCTATGGGTTTGGGATGTATTATTCAGAGCCAGATTCTCTGGGGACTGGAAGAGGCATCACACCCTTTTAGACATCAGGGCGGGAACCAGTTGGTACCATGAGTACACGAATATACATAGAGGTACACCATGCAAAGACACTATTCCAGGCACTGACCATGATCCAATGACCAGGAAATATGTATCTACTCCCCTCTTGACCCTCCACACTAGTGGGGGCTACCCTGAATGGCAGATCATGTATCACTGACATTATGGTACATGAGACCCCCTCTTGGCTTCCCTAGACAAAGATGCACAACAGTGGAAGAGGAGCCCAGAGGAAGCACAGAGTACTGGGTGGCAAGTCACTGCACAATCTAACAAATGGAACAGGACACATCGTTCTGTACCCTCGCTTCTCACATGTTTATGGAAGACAACCCCTGTTCCATAGCAGAAATTTTCCATCCCCCATTAAGGCAACATGCCACTGGGGAGCACTAGACAGATGTGTGTACAGCTTCCCTGAAGAAGGAAGAGATGGTCACACCAGTGTCCACAGACTCTCCCATGGAGTCATCTGTCAGTCTCTCAGGGCTGTCTGGGCCAGCCCTGCTTCACTGGTGGTGGAGATAGAGTGAACTCGGCTCCGCACTGCTGGAGCAGCAGGCAAGTGTCGAACTCAGCAGGTTGCCTTGGGTTAGCAGTTTGGGAGGGAGGACCAGACCTCACACTCAGCTCCCCACACCTGTCTCCTCCAGAACCACAGCCCTGCTTCTTAGCTCTAAGCAGCAGCTGCAAACCCACATGGACCCTCCAATGCAACTCCACTTCACCGAACTGGAGCACTGTGAACCCACTGAGGCAGAAACAAGGGTGAGAAGGACTGGGTATAGGCTTGAGGGTATGTGAGGAGGACAAAGCTAAGGGACCACCCTGGAACTCTGAGCCACAGCAGTCAGTGGGAGGATGAAGTGTGGGAAACTTCCTGATAGTGTATTTTTGCACAGAGCTGTCTCTGACAGGCACTGGGAAGTTTGTTTGCTCTGCAAGGAACATGGGAAATTGATGATCTTTCCTCTCTTTACTGTTGAAGTGTTGGCTGGACACCATGTTCAAGGACCAGCTGAAGAGTTTGTACCTGATTCATCTCCAGTGCCTTCATCAGCTCTGGGACCACTGGAAGAGGCAGCACCTGGAAGCCCATCTCTGTCAACTCAGATGCATCATTAACAGTGGCTCCACAGCCAGTGTCAGCTCCTCAACTCCACTGATGTCAGCTCATGCTAAAAACCTGAATTTCCCATCTCCTCCACTATTTTTTTCCATTTTCTTGCACTTACCTCTATACTCTTTTTAAATATTATGGCATGAATTAATTTTAAACAAATTATAGGATTTCATTCATTTTAATTAAAATCCTCAGGGAAGTGGCACTATCACATTCTCAATGTGTACAGCCTTCATTTCTGCCGAGTTCCAGAATGTTTCCCCCAACTTCATTCCCATTCGGACACCATTCCCTCTCTTCCCTGCCATCCCAGCCACCAGTAATCTTTCTGCCTCTGTGATTTACTACACCATGTTTTCACATCAGTGCATCACAGCTCTGTTTGGCCAAGCAGTACTGGAAGAGGTTAACTGATATTTGTCTTTGATAAAGGGGACTATCCTAGATAGACTATAGGATATAAGTAAAAATTCAATACATTCATCTTTGAGGTTGGAATTACCTTTCCATTTGTTTTGTGAGATATGAGATGAACTCTTACAATTCAAAAGGGGATCTGCTCATATGACCAACAAGTGTATAAAATACACAGTATCCCAAGAAGATACATTAAGGAACACATCACTGAGATGTGCTGTGTCCCCATTTGACTTCAGGTTTTAAGGCGGGTGGGGAAGCGCAGTGGGGAGAAAATGGAGGGGCAGAGCAGAGCCCTTTCCCTCAGCTCCCATCAGACCTCTACACAGGTCCCTGGACCTCCTTTAGCTAAGCATAGAGGTTTCTTCCACACAGAGAGCTACACAACAACAACACAAAAAAATAAAGAAAAAGCTGCATAACTTCTTAACTTTCCTTTCAAGACTGTTGTTCACAGCACTGTTAGAAGCAGAAAGGAACTGGGACCCTCTCTACCCTGCAGGTAGATGGTGCAGGCACCAGTGTGGGCCATGGGAACCAGGGGAAGCTGCAGGGATGCTGAGCTCAGTCTCTCTGTGCCCACAGGGAAAGAGGCCAAGGAATCTGGTCATGAAATGACCATGGATGCAAGATGGATGTGTGTGAGGAAGGTCTCAGTTGTTACAATGAAATACCTCTGACATCAATGTGCATACACACAGAGATGAGTGTGAGGCAGATCTCAGTTTTTACAATGAAATATCTCTGACATCAATGTGCATACACACAGAGATGTGTGTGAGGCAGAGTGACAGATGAGAGTGAGGCACAGCCTGGGAGACTTGCCCATCACTTAATGAAGTGGAGCTGCAGAGGATGGAAAATGTGAACACTCTTCTTGGTTTTACTCTCAAAGCTCTTTATTGTACAATGACATCTTTGGGTGGGGAAGTGGCACAGGGAAGTAACAGGAACCTGGAGAAATAGATAAATATACCAAGATTTTCTTTTTTCTTTATCTAAATATGGCATTTACAATAAGAGAGAATATATTAATGACATACACGTAGTTCTCCACTAGCAGAGTCATCCATGGGCTTGTCATTAGCAGACTCAGAAGTCAGAAGGGTGAGGGAAGGGAAGGGAGGTCCATATAAAGGGGGAAATGGGGTTTAACCTTAGTTGAAAAAAATGTCACCTGAGACTCTTTACTTAAATCAAAGAGAGATGCCACCACTTCCCAGTGTGTAGGGGGGAGGGTGGAGACACAGCACAGAGTACAAGGCTGGGTTGGAAGAAGACCAGGGCTCAGCTGTGGGAGAGGGGATCACAGTATCCCTACAGGGCCACTATGTCTCTGCTTTTCTTCTGCAGTTAAAAACTAACAAGAAAACAACACAACTACCAGGTGAGAAGAGTTTCTGAAAAAGGAGCCACCAGAGACATGAACAATAGAACCATGTTAAATTTTTAAAAAGTATTTACATGTCAGCTGTTTGTACATTGGCTAGTTCTGTAGGAAAGGTGGGAAGCCCTGTACCACTCAGCTGCTCCACAGATATGAATGGTCTTGCTGTAGGTTCCCCTCATTAAAAATCCTTCAGTGTAGAAATATGAGGACTTAAGCTGAATACAGTCACTGACGTAATGGCGTTGACACAGGGGAGAGACAGTGTCTCCTCTTCTCCTGGAAAGGAAGAGAACTTGAAGATTGTGTCATTAGCAGCTCTGGGAATGTCTACCAGCCTCAGTACTCCTACAATGAGGTGTCAGGGTGGCCCCTCCCACAAGTCACAGACCACAGGTGAGGTGGAAGTAGGAGAGTGTGTGGAGCATGCTGTGCACGGTTGCTGGAGAGAACCCTGCCCTGGCAACATGCTCTCAGACTACGGATTGCACTTTGTGTTTACATAAAATCCCATCATGATTTCAGGATGGGTGGTAGCCTCTTGTCTACTGGAAATTATTTTTCAAGTTTGGGCATATAAAACCTTAGACAATGTGCTTAGCCAGTTGAGCAGAAATGACATTATTTGGAAAAATCTAGGAAACACATTTTGCAGTGGCAGGTTCAAGCTACTGAATCTACTGAAACCCATATTTTGGGGATAAAAAGACATGAGTCAGGGTTTGCTGTACAAGATGCTGGAGGCACAGAAATGTGCCCAAGTTCATTTTCTGCTTCGCTTCACTCATTCTACCAAGCTGCAGAGTAGATTCTGAGCATCCAAGACTTTAAGGTTTGAAATGCAGTAGAAATCTGTAAAAATTCAGGCAAGTGGAGAGTAAAAACAAAAGTAAAGCTTTGTTGGCAAAATGCAGTTTTAAATATATGGTTAAATAAATAAAAAAAACCCAAAAATGAAAAAGAACAAAGAAGAAGAAAAGGTAATGTTAATGCTGTGTTTTGTTCCAATGCTGCAGCCATAGTCAGAAAGGAGAGGAGTGAAATTTGCAGACTGGAAGGGTCACTGTGTGAACGCACTTGGCCTAGGAGGCTGAGGGTGTGTAGACCCACTATGCGAGCAACACCCAGGCAGTATCAGGCACCTGGTGGAGGCGGACTTAGGACTGATGTGGCAGAGTCTTGGCTGCATCCTGGCAGCTCTGCCTTGCTGTCCCTGCAGGGCTGCAGCATGGATGTGGTGGGGGAGAGGAGTGTAAAGCAGGCGGTGCTGGGCTCCTCTGCACACTGCACACTCCGTGTTCAGCCTGGCAGCAGGAAGATTCATGTCCTCCTCACTGGTAAAAGAGACTCCGAAGAAAAACTCTTGTTGTCCTCTGAGAGTTATTGGCACAGGTGAACCGGTGCTTTCTAGGGTAGGAGGGCAGCACCACCCCAACATGGAAGGGATTCGCATGTGTTAAGGTTTTAAAAATTAGTCATAAATGATGTGTTGTTTTTCTGAATAACAAAACTCCTTATTTTATATATCTATAAGATGACGTTTGAAGTTTCTGTACTATGCATATCCTTCATTTTACATAAATGAAAATTAAGTCATCCATTTTCACTCATCTCTTTGAGAAATTACATACTATTTTTTTCTTAACTAGGTTGGTTACAAGAGAAGAAATAGTGAGTTGGACACTAGCAATAATTCAATGGAAATTAAAAATTGAAAAACCAAAAAAGCATCCCTCCGAGGATGAGTGGTCTGCCACTGACCAGCTCCTCTCTCCTGTCCTCACCTGCTGTGCTGGCCTGTGTCTCTTCACTGATGGGTGGAGAGAGGGCCAGGCCACAAGCTCCTGTCATCTCAAGTAAGACTGGGGAGATGGCCTACGACATGGCCTTCTTTCAGCATTTTAAGTGCCTGTAAGTTTATAATTCACTCAGCAGCTTTGCTGTCATAGGTTCATGGCTTCTAACCTTTGACACCTTAACTGACTAAGAATAGAATATGGGAAACTGTAAATCTCACTTTTTGTTATGAATACTTAACACTGGGCATTCCAGGAAAAATGTATACATGTTGAATTTCATAGTGACAGATTTCACACCTGAAGTCTCCACATTGAGTTGGAGCCTGGAAGAGCAAGTCTAGGGGGTGCTCAGATCCCTGTGGAGATCTGATGTCAGTGGAAAATGGTCCAGGCAGACATAGAGGACACCATGGCACCAGGGGCAAGAAAGGCCCAGGTCCAGGCCTCCTGATCCACAAGTCAGCTTTGAGCAAAACAGCATACACTGCACACTGGACAGAAGAGGGCTGGTGTGGCCCTGCTCCCAGAACTACTTCCTGAAGAACCTAGGCCCTTTGGCTGACTCAGGGAAGCACTGTACAAGAAGGTCAGCCTGTTACAGAGCCCACCTTGACTGAATGTCTTCCACCCAGGTGCAGATTTCAACTGCCGCATGTGGACTCACCATAGCTATGGAGCAGGACAGGTGTTTACAGGGAGCAAATCAGGAGATGGGGACACTGCAGGCAGGCCAGCGTATGAAGCCTGAAATAAGATACGGGCACCTGACCAGCTCCAGTTTCCTTCAGCAGTAAACTCCCGACAAGAACAGTATGCATTAAAGACTAATAACTGAAAGGAGTTACTGACAAAAATATATAAAATCCCTAAGTAAAATGAGATGTGACCCTTAATGGGAATGTGGTCTCCTTTGGTGTCACTGACACACACCCATAAGGAACAAACACACTGATGAACAGAGCAAAAATTAATATAGGTGATGGATCAACAATCAAAACTCATTAATAACAATAACAAAACCAGGGTAAGGCAAATGACCCAGTGAATTTTTTTAAGTGTGTAATAAAAAATAAATAATAAGCATTTTTGGATTCTTCCAGAAAATGGAAGGGAAAAAATCCAACACCAACTTCTTTTAGATGACGAAGTCACCCTGAGAATGTAGCCAGACAATAATATATTGAAAAATAAAATAAAATAAAATAAATGAAAGCACCCTACTGACCAATATTCCTAACAAAAATAAGCAAAAATATTCAGCTAAATACTTGTCAGCTAAATTTGCCAGCACATGCAAAAGTTAAGCACCATGATCAACACTTGGCTCAATCTCAATGATGCAAGAACTATTCCACTGTAAAAACCATTCAGTGCCACTTGTCACTCTCACAGAATGAGACAGAAATAATCTCTCAATAGATTTGGAAAAATAGCTTTGAAAAATACTGAGTTACAGCATTTTCTCATTGTAAGAACTACCCACACCCCATGTATTGGGAGAATTGACCTCAGTACATCAAAGATCATGCATGAGAAGCCCATCCTTGAAATTGTGCTCAGAGGCTGACAATCTGCAAAATTTTCTTCTCAGATCAGGAACCAGAC